TTTTTTCTTTTAACTTGCAAATAACTTAATACGTGATTATGTTAAGATGACTTTCTCCCGTAAGATAAACGCCGTATCCTACGACTATAGCATCAATAATAAATTCGTTAAACCATGTAATGACGTACGGGACCTCGGTATAACATTAGATAGCAAAATGATGTACGACAAACACATTGCTACTATTATTAACAGGGCTTATAGTAATCTAGGATTTATAAAACGCGTGTGCAAGCAGTTCTCTGATATAGAAAGCTTAAAAATGGTTTATTATACCTTCGTGCGTAGTATTTTGGAATTTGGTAGTGTCATCTGGTCGCCCTGGTATGCTTTTTATGATAAGAACATTGAGGACATACAAAAAAATGTTCATAAAATTTCTTAGTTTTAAGAGTAGAAAAAAGTTCACCTCATACGAGGAAGCCTGCAAATACTTTAGTATACATAGCCTTTCTGATAGAAGACAGCTCTTGACATGGCCTTCCTCCACGATATTGTTAACGCTCGCCTTGACAGCCCTGCCCTTGTATCATTGTTTCGTCTTGTTGTGCCCCATCATCAACCTGGTAACCAACTTTATAAAGTTTTTTACGTTCCACCAAGTCGTACGAACTATGGCCAGAACGAGATCGTCTCACGTCTTACAACAACTTACAACAAGTCTTTCAGTACAATTGACATTTTCGCGAATACTAAGCATTCGTTTAAACGGCATATGAGAAGAGTAATTCGTCCCCCTTAGCTGTTACCTCATTTTTTGTAATAATTGTTATACTGTTTAGTAAAAAAAAATATTTATTTAAACACTTTATTGTACCACAAAGTAACTTACAAATTTTCAGAAACAATTTAAATATTTGTGTACAAAGGCGAGCTTATCCCATAAAGAGATTTCTTCCAACTAACCTTTTATATATGAAACTTATATGATATCTAACTAATATATGAAACTTTGTACTATTTGTTCTTTATCATCATTCTAATTTTTAATTTGGAATGTAATTTGCTGCAATTTTTACAAATATTATTATTATTACTAACTTTTTTCTTTTTCTTTTAAATTTTTTAATTTTTATTACCATTATTGTTACTTTTTGAATTTACATTAGCATTCAATGAACTCTAAACTCACTATGTCACGTCATGCCATTTTGTCAGTGATATCCTATAATTGGTAACACTTATTGCTCATGTAAATTAGTTTTAAGTTTTACAATGTATGCTGTTGGATGTCCTTTATAAATAAATAAAAATTGGTTTTTCGCCATTTTCAACTGTCGCCTCTATAGAAGCGTTCGTTGGCGGCAGAAAAAAAAATGCTCTGATCCCTTTGAAAACTGGCATATGTGGGTGGGCTAAGAGTGCTTGATAATATTTGTGATCAAAAATGGTTTTAAACCATTTTTAATATGGCCGCCAACTAATAAAAATTAGCTCTAATTCAACTGACAATCGATATGTGGGGATCTCTATAGGTGTTTGATAATAATTTGCGGTCGTAATTTATTTTTCGCCTTTTTTCAATATGGTTGCCATACAAACTTTTTTAGCGCCAGATAAAAATTTGCTCTAATTCGATTGAAAGTAATGTCGGGGTCTCTATGAGTGTTTAATAATAAATAGCGGTCAAAATTTATTTTTCGCCATTTTTCAATATGGCTGCCATACAAACTTTTTGGCGGTACATAAAAATTTCTTCAAATTCGACTGAAAATGGCATGGCTTCAAACACAATTTGGAGTAAAAATTTTGTTTCTGCCGTTTTTCGATATAGCCGTAGTTTTTCATGTAAATAGCTATTGAAAAAACTTGCTTTGCTTGGACTGAAAATTGGCACGAAAAGATTTCTAAGATTGTTTGATAATAATTAGTGGTCAAAATATATTTTTGCAATTTTTAAATATGGCCGCCATTAAAGAGCTATTTAAATTGTTTTTAAACAAAGCCATAAGTGCCGAGGCCGGAGGCCGAGGTCCGCGGAGGGCGAAGCCCGAAGCGTCCGCACGCCATCAAATGGAGATAATATACGGAGATGTAATAGATTACGAGTACAAGATCTCACAATTGTAAAAATGTAAAGCATGCTTCCCGATGTAGTGGAAATGAGATACTTAATTATGGCGTTGTTGTATCTCAACCGTCTCTATGTTAGATTTCATTTTCTTGAAAGCTATTATTATTATTTAGGGGGAAAACTATGAGTACCAAATCAACGATAACTCAGAATACTCAGACCAAAACCAACTTAGAAATGTTCGTTTCTTAAATTGACATAAATTGGGAATCGACCTCATCATCAAGCGGCCATAAACTGCTGAGCCACCGAAGAGCATGAGCACACCCCTCGAGTAGCAGGAGTATTATTTTCCAATAATTTATAAGATAAATAGAAATGTTAAAGTTTGTGTAAGATAAATAGAAATGTATCTTAGCACAAATAAAATATCTTGAATTAATACAGTAAGCTTTTATTTGTTTGTACATAATTATGCAGAATATAGAGGTTTTAAGGTGAATACAGCCACACATCTAGTGATACAAGATGCAATTCCACTATGGTACTATTTTGAACAAATACTTTTTACCGTTAGTATTACTTCAGCTGTCCTCCACTTGATCTAATATTATGACAAATAATAAACAATTTATTGAAACGTTATACCTATAAAACAAAGACTTAGTTTGTACATTCCCATACATGTTTGTACATTGTAGTTTCCCATAATTTATATTTAACTCCTTATACAATTGCATCTAAAGTGTATTTATTTTAACACGTTCAACTCGGGGTGCACCACCGGCGGAGTACGGATAACTTGCCCATCATGTGGAGTGTATTCCCGGTGGTCACGCACAAAATCCTCGCCGCTTTGAGAGAAAGTACTAAAGTTAACATATCCGCTCTGTGTAATACTTAAATTTTCATAGCTTAGCCCACGAGATTAATAATGCGTAAGATGGGAAATAATCCAGGTTAAAAGAAAGTACTTATCTAAATAAAGAATTTAATAGATCATTTAATAGAATAAAGTGGCACTAACAAACTAGGCTCCCCGCCAAAACAAACTTTTGGTTTATGGGCAATGATGTACAATCAAGAGCACATCAAGCTTGACACTTTGGACTTGGGACCGTTCTTATCGTAAGCGGCATAGAGATGGATTTAAGTCTTAAGTGTAAAGCTTGACGTGCGAAGTGCGAATACAGTCCAGAGATGAGAGTAACGGATGGAAAACACAAATATGTTCACTCCGTCACTATCATTTTGCCGGTCTGGCCAAATGCTTCTTCACACTACGTTTGAAGGACCCGATGTTATAGAGGGGAGGGAATACATGCGCCGGGAGTTGGTTCCACAATTTGATGGTTCGGCATAAAAACGAATTGCCAAACTTTTTAGTGCGGGACGGTATTGAACTGACCGTCCATCTGTGGCAACGCAGTCCGGCACGGGTCCGCTGATGGAAAGGAGAGGAAGGGATAAGGTTGAATAACTCTTCAGAGCACTCACCGTGGTACAGGCGATAGAATACGCTAAGAGACGCTATATCTCTGCGAAGCTGTAACGACTCCGCATTAAACGGCGAAGAGTATGAATTGAATAATATTATTATTATTATTCTTGTCATGTTTTATTTTCCTTTATTTTAGGACCATATTGACTTTGAATAGCATGTTGCTACCTTGACTACGCTATCCGTGACCTCATTGAGGTCTTCCCTCGTTCAAGTACTAATGCACGAGGGGCATACGAACAAGTGCTGTATGGGCTATGTTAGGGTATCGCAACCACATCGAGTTAGATTAGCATTCCTGAATACCCATGTTTTACATACTGTTTCAGCAGCATCCTGCCTGGTCACGAAGTCGATTCAGATATTACCTTATCTACTGCTAAATAGAGCTTCTTGTGAAAGAGTTCGTCCAGGGAAGTACTGCCTTACCTGCACCTTACGTATTTCTGTCCCCAAGCAGAGATGTGAGCGTTATTGCGTTCCGGATATAGAAGAAAAGAAAAATCATCCACGGTGAAACCAAGTGGTGGGGTGTTTTTCTGTTTCCACAGTGATAATCGAATGGTCACTCTGGTCACATTCTTACAGCTCCTGAGACGAGCTCGGGCTTATTTGTGGAACATTATTATTGTTATTGTATTTGCTTTTTTTAGCACTGACAACTACTGGGATATTTGAAATTCAATATCAGTAAAAATCATATAAGGTGTATAAATTGTGAAAGTTTGAATCAAAGTATTATTAGTGTAGTAGATTTTTTAATATTAACTGTTTAATTAAATGACTCGTGTCTCAAAAGTCTCGATACTCCCTAAACTGAAAACATAGAGAAAAATTTTCGAGATTGACATTCCCGGGATGGAAACCCTAGTAACTACTGCGAATTGATTTAGATGGTCTTATTGTATTTATTGATTCATTTAAATCATGTTATGACTGAACTATGACCCATATAATATGTATCTTAAGGACTAACATACATGTGACATAAAAACTAAATAACTAATCTACACAAAGTATATTTGTTTGCGACGTGCAGCCCAATCTCCTGTCAGGTAACCTAACTCGGAATTGCCGATATACATAACGTGACCATAATTTTTTCGTCAGAGGCGGGACGCGTTAAATTTATCATTGTTTTAAAACATGTTTATAATAGTTACGAAATGTTCAATGATTAAAAAATATATAAATAAATATATAACGCACACACAAACACACACACACACACACACACACGCGCACACACACACACACACATGCACGCACACACACACACACACACACACACGCACGCACGCACGCACGCACGCACACACACACACACACACACACACACACACTCAACAGAGCCCAGCACTAGGGAAACCCTGTGTCGCGGGTGCCACGGACACACGAAGTTTAATGTTTAATGACCAAAAATTAAAAAAAGAAGAACTAATCTTGTGTAGTTCGGCGGGCTGGTTTTACGGTTTTACGACTTGACAACTTATGTCCCAGGGTGCCGGGCGGTGAGTGGCAGTACCCCTGAGATCTTTGCGGTTTAAAGCTCTGAGTGGTTTAAAGCTCTGCAACAACTGTTATACTGTGTTATGTTATGGACAGGCGTGTTACTTAACACCAGGCGCACGACTTGTTCGTCCTGTCAATTGATGTTATAAAAAAAGAAAAAAAAACAAAGCTTAAAAGCGAGACGTATGGTCACGTCAGGTATACAACACCTTTCGGCCAAAAATTCTCTCATGAAGGTCAACAGACAAACGAATTGAAATTTACATTGTAGTGTAACTCCACTCAAGTGCACGACACTCAGGGTTTATTTCGCTTTTAGTCTGACGTAATCGAGTATCACCTCTGACTTCGTGTTTATCGTGAGTAATGTAGTCGTGACAGGTACAGCAGCGTCGTCAGTATGGCCCGACGCAGCAGAAAGGTCGGCTCTGCAGTGCCATGCCACACAGGTAACGGATTATGAATATCTAAATACGGTTTATTTGTTAACAGTTTTCAGAAGTGCGAAGTAAGACCAAGCCGAGTTCATGATCTGAAAGTACAATAAAGCTGAAAGTTAAGAAACCAAAATTCGGCTGCAACAAAAACATTTATAGCCTGTTTCTTTTTTATTAAAATATTAAACAATAGCTACATTAACTATATTTTGCCGGAAATAACTTCTAATGTCACAGAAATAGTTTTTTTTTACATTTTAACTGTTCTTTTTAAGTTTACTTCCACTGTTATTTTTCTCTTCTAAACATTTGTTTCAAGAACTTTTGAAACTGTCAGTCAAAGTTAAAGGCCCAGAAACACATTCGCCCAGCACCCTATGTTGGAATTTGGATATAATCCAGTGGTAAAACATAGGTCGGTTGTTGCCTCTATGAAGTAACACATAAACATTTATACATTTATAAAATCATAACAAATACCTTCTTGATCTTTCTGCAAAAGGATAACAATTTCATTTCATAATACCTACCTTAGAAAAAGCTATCATATTGACATCGGCAAAACCGTATGCAGTCAATTTACATGGTCTATGCCCCCTGAAAATAAAACACTTCAAATTATTGAAATTTAATTGAATATGCCAGACAAACACACCAATTCTGGTCTCAAGCTAGGTACTAGAGCAACGAAATTCTCTCCGGGGCACTACTTAGTAAGGCTCGCACCATAGGGCGCAACTAGCGCGAGGTATTGCCATTCTCGCATAGAGATCGCCCCGCTCTCGCGCTAGTCGCGCTTTATAATGCTAGCCCTACAGGACACCGAGACCAGAACCAATTCAGAAAAGTTCATAATATCCCAAATTGATCTTACCAGGCATCGAACCCGGAACTTTTTCATCCAGCGTTTACAGTGCAAACCGTTTATCCGCCGAGGCCGTCAACACTATTTAATTATTATTTTAAACATGTGTAAAGAAATACTTATTAGAATAAATAAGAACGATTGAGGGGAAGATTAGAATCAATAATTTATTAAATTCGATATCAAAAAGAAATTAATTGTGTTTATTCATTACTGTTTGACTAAAGATTTACCTCATCTGTAAATAATGAAGCATTTTGGCCTTCTTGGCACTTGTTAAGTACCAATTACAGTTGTACACAGCATCACTCACTTCCAGATTCTAAAAACCAAAAACGAGATGTTTTTTTAAAAAATCCTTACAATAAAATCGTAAAGAAACTGAATCTGTACTTCTAATATTTTAAAGTAAAAGTTAGTGCTTTCTACTGAAGACACGCCATTTAACCTAAAACAACAGTTAGAATTTTAGTTTGTCCATGCGTTTGTGTACGCTAATTTCCGCAATGGGTGAACTAATGCAAATATGGTTTTCAGTAATATATTAAAGTAAACTTGGATAAAAATTTAGTGTCTATTTTATTTGAATCGGTAAACAAATAAAAATCGTATATCAATTTTAACGAGGGACTTGCGCGCGCTCAACGTGTTGCGTACATAATTCGTACTACG